TGATCTTCCGCGAGTGCCAATAAAAATTAAAAGAAAACGTATACGAGTACATTATTTTACAATTTGAAGTCAATAAGCACAAAAATATTTACTAAATAAATGAAACAACTAAAATTATTAATCATTACAAATATCACATACATATTTATTATAAATAAATATAATAAAATTAGCAATTATTTAAGCAAAATTAAAAAGAAACGAATAAACGTAATAGAAATGTATTTGAAACACAGTATATAATTTTCAATAAGTTAACTTTTGAGTATTCAGTAAGTATTTTTGTAATTAAACGATGTATTTAAACGAACCAATTGAAGCCAATTGTATAGTGACTACGAACATAACATTGACATCATCTGGCATATTGGTGTACACTCTACGTTTCTAATTGTGATTTCCTTCATATATTTTTCAGCTCACTAACTGTCACTTAAATATTCCGGCATAATTACATCATGAAAAATGTGACCTGAGTTATAAGTAAGAATTGAACGAATAAATTATAATGTATTAGTAACTTTCAGTAAACGAAATTCGAAAAAATATAATATCTGTTTATAATTTTTGTTTTTGGTGTCACAATATAATGTTCTCCAGACCGAATTTCTATCGCCTCGGCCTGTTTCGATGGAGACTAGCCATCTGCACAGGACAAGATTACAGTAGCCCAAGTGTAGGTGCACTCTCTATTCCCTCACACTCATAACCCGATGGGACGGTAATTCGACACGACCGTAGAGAGATCAGGCGCAGGACCAACGGCTTTACGTGCTTTCCGAGGCTCAAGGGTGAAATACCACTAACTTCCCAACGCTGTTACTGAGCATTTCTTGACAGAAAAACCTAATAAATGATTTTGGCTTGAGCCGGAATTCGAACCCGGAACCTCATGATCAGCAATTGTGTTTACGAACACTAGATCAAAAAAGCAGTCAAATAACAGTATACACTGATATTAAAGAGACAGAGCGGTAATTTTTTATTGGTTATTTATAGATATTTGGTTTACCCCTAACTTGTGAAGTAATGAAGAAGTTGAACTATTCCTAATTGTTAATTAATATTTTAGTTCAATACTATGAACATATAGTAGTAGGTATTACTAGTATTTCATAACAAATAGAAATAAAAATGGATTTATTTCATCGAATAGATTAAAGATTATAAGTTAAAAATTTATTTCCGTGTTATATCAATATAATTTTTTATCAGTAGAAACACGAAATTGTTTATTTTCGCCATCTCCACTTTGACTTGGTACTATTAAAATTAATTTAGTTTAGAAAATTTTGTGTCCATAGTGACTGAGATCAGACCCACCTTCTAGCAGTTTAGACCTAATAGTAAGTCACTAGTTACATCTTTGGCTTTACCATCGAATAATTTCGGTACATTACTGGACGGAGAAAGCTTGCGCATAGCCGTAGTGATGTTATTAGGAGCGGCGACCTCTCAAACCAGTCAGTGCCCAGTGTGCGGCAAAGGCTACGTATAGCCATTCAGTGGGGAAACGCAGTCAGTATCTTTGACAATGTGTTGCGGGGAATTTTATAATTATATATTGTTTATTATATTATGTAAACACATTATTATTAAAATAAAATATGTAGCACTATTACTACTACTACTTTGTTTATGGTTTGTATAAAATTGTATTGCTTACAGGCATAATTGTGCCCTACAGGCACAATTGTGTTCTGGGTTGGTAGGGAATAAAACAACTGACATCTTCTTCCTTGTATATTTGAAGTTTCTTCCGAAGTAGCTAGCCGCCGACTGTCTCAAACGACGAAAACCGCCCCCTTTTCATACGACCTCGGCTATGTCACCAAATACAGTACAAGCAACGGGGGAATGGTATCGACCAATCAGAGCAAGTCACGATGCTGAATTATTACGAATTAAACAGAACAGAATTATTACGCGACTCAGCAAGGTAGTTACATACCTTGCTGAGTCGCGTAATAATTCAGTTTTTTCTATATATTAAACTCATATATTTCTAAACATGAATTTATAATTTAGTAACAACTAAATTATAAATTCAGTACATAACTTAAAACTATATCTACTATAAATTTGTGATATAAAACTCTAAACTATAACGATTATTCCACTAAACTATAACATGAAACGCTTATGTCTTATTTATGTATTGGCCTATCAGCGTCTATATATCACTATTTTTCACTTGTCCCGCACATCACTCCCGCCGTGCGACCACGTCGCATCAGCTTTCGGTGCGGGCTCGACGTCCGTAAATAGAGTCAGGATCACTGGCTTCCTCACTGGCCGGCGCAGGACACCTCCCTTGGTTAGCACGTCCACCTTCCGCACGATGTTGTCGGGACCCGGATATTTAGCGACGACTCTTCCTCGTATCCACACGTTGCGGGGCAGGTTGGGGTTGACGATCTGTACAAGGTCGTCGACATGTGCTGCTTGGCCTCGTCCGTGGGATTCCTGCCTGTGTAGAAACTCAGGGAGGTACTCCTTTACCCAGCGTAGCCACAAGATGTCGGCTAGCCTCTGCGCAGCTCGCCAACTTGATCGTAAGAGGGTGTCTTGTTCGGTGAAAGTGCCTGGTTGTGGTACACGCCCCGGTCCTTTCAACAAGAAGTGGTTAAGAGTGAGGGCTTCGGGAATTTCTGGACTTACTGAAACGTGGGTCAGCAGGCGGCTGATGACGGTATATTCTACTTCTACCTGTAGTGTCGTGAGTCATGACTTCCTCTGTCGGATGACGTTCATGTAATATCGCGATGAGCGGTCTTGACAGAGCAAGCCATTCGCTCCCAGGCTCCGCTCATAAATGGAGCTCCAGGCGGTATGTGGCCCCAGAAGATATTCCTCTTCGCCGCGTCTTCTGCGGTCGCTGCGTCGACTGCCCGTCATAGTTCCTCATCGCCAGCCTTCAGGTTGGTGCCGTTTTCTGACCATATTTCAGTCGGGCAGCCTCGCCGCGCGATCATTCGCCTTATGGCCATTACCGTGGAGTCAGCGCTAAGTGAGCCGGCGACTTCCAGATGTATGGCTCGCTGAAAATGGCCACATATCTCTTTTGTCGAGTTCGTCCGACGGTCACCGAAAGAGGTCCGAAATAATCCACCCCGGTGAAGGTGAAGGGGTGTTTGTGGTAAGATAAGCGACATGCTGGCAGGTCCCCGATTCTCGGATGGTACTTGCGTCTTCATTCTGCAGAATAGGCATTTTCGTAGTATTGTGCGTACGATAGGGCGCCGTCTTAGTACCCAATACTGCTGCCTCACTCGTTGACTGTGGCCTCTACACCGGCGTAATGGAGTTGCCGATGTATAGCCTGCACCGAAAGCTTGACCGTATGATGATCACCGTCAATTACTAGCGGGTTCGTTAATTCTTCTTCCATGTCGCATACCGCTCGAATACGGCTTCAAATTCGTAGTGTGCCGTTTATTGACTCGACGTTGAGCTGGCGAAGGCAGCTCTCTTTGCTGATCGGCTTCTCGCTGTTTACGCTGTCTATTTTTGTCTATTTCTATTGTCTATCTGTCTATTTATGTCTATTGAAAGGATTCTTCTTGGGAGGACCGCATCAGGAATTCTGTTCACCTGTTTTTTGACCATTAGCGGCTCCATGTCATCTGGCGACCGCTACTTTGTCGTCGTGGGCGCCTGATATTTCGCTGTAGCTTTGTTCTTCTTCCAAGTGGGATCAGCCTCTTTGTTCTTCTTTGTTCTTTTGTAGCTGACTCTCTGTTTGGTGTTTCTGCAGAGTTAAATGAACTGTAGAACACGTGCGATTGAGTATCGGAGTTGGTTCCAGTTGGAGAACTTCGCTGCATCAGGTAGACCCTCTGCAAGCTTCAGTCTTCCTTTGTCGCTCAACTCATGTGTCTTCTCTTCATCGGAAGGTTCTTTCGCTGTTGCTCTTGTGGTTTCCGTTGGCCAGGGTCTTCTGTTAGGTAAAAGAAGTCAGGTCCTTTGAACCATCGATGGTCTTTATTAAATGCTGCTGGTACGCGTATAACTGTTACTCTTACACTAGAGAAAAAAAAAACGAGGAGGTGGAATTATTATATATGTGAAAAATAACATTGTAAAGTGAAATTATAAAAGGGCAGTTGAAAATTGAAGACCGCGAAATATACGTATTAGTTACATATAGACCGCCAAGTTCTAATAAAAACTCTTTTATCAATGAAATAGAATCCATAATACGCGCGATACCATCTCGTAATGAGATTGTTTTCATGGGAGACTGTAACATCAATATATTGGAGGATGCAATAGATAACTCTTCAAGTTTTTACTTAAATACCCTTAGTGAATTAGGCCTACAGTGTGGAATCCGTGATGTAATACGCGAGGTGGTGGTTGCGGAGCGGCGAGTAACGTCTTGCATCGATCATGTCTTTGTTAGCCTTGTGTAAGTAATGCGATTGTTGCATTACGCGTCATATAACCCGACCGCGTACTGTAGCATTACACATGACTCGACCTAATCAAATATGGCAGATGACAGTCAAACATGACGCACAGCGCTTTCTTCGGTGTCCGTATTATCTCGTTAATTTTCGCTATGTGTAAGCGAGAAGGAGCGATCGGCGGTCGGCTGGTTAAGAAATAAGTGAATTTAGAAATAAGTGAATTTCGACTTTCGACTAGAATGACTCTGTTTTCAAGATAGGAACATCAGTGAAATATTTCTCACACACCGTTATTAATTTTTAATTGATAGTTTGCGTTACGAGGTTTCTGCCCCTAGTTGTGAGGGTTGAGCCCCCACATACCAGCGGTTTCCCGGCACAGTGCCACTACTGCCAACTTTATGGACATGCGGCGGCCAACTGCTCTGCCCCACCCAGGTGCGTTCAGTGCCTAGATCCGCACCACTCGAAAGAGTGTCCCCGACCACAAAACGTGTGTCCGACTTTGAAGTGAACGGCGGAGCTCTTATTTGGGTTCACATCGATGCGCCATTTTTGGAACCAAGCTCCTAGGTCATTAACTGACTTTTAGATCTTGTTCCGTATGAAAGGTAGCGAGGTACCCTTACAATAGAGGGCAGTGTCATCTGCGAAGAGGGAGAGCTGAACACCATTCGACAGGATGGGAATGTCGTTGGTGAACAGAATGTACAGGAGAGGAGAAATTACTGAGCCCTGAGGGACACCAGCTTTGATGGGGCGCTGAGAGGAGAGCGTGGCTTCGTGTCTTAAGCGAAAGGTACGATCCTTTAGATAAGAGGCCACAAGACATACAAGACGATCAGGGAGACCTATTTTGTAAAGTTTATAGATAAGGCCCTCCTGCCAGACGTTATCAAATGCTTTGTCAATGTCGAAAATACCGCGATGGTCTTATAACGACGAGGATAAAAACCCCTGAGGATATATTCCACAATTCGGTGAACTTGTTGGGGACAAGAATAATTCGCTCGGAAACCAAATTGGTGGGGGATGACAAGAGGGTTACAGTCTATGGGAAACAGATGGAGCCTCATGCGAGTGAGGATGACTCTTTCGAAGAGTTTGCTCATGGCCTTGAGGAGGCTGATGGGACGATGACTGGAGGGGAGGTTGAGAGGCTTTTCTGGCTTGTGGATACCAATGACAGTTGCCTCTTTCCACGTTGTGGGAAAATAACTAAGATTGAAGCAGGCGTTGAAGATAATAGTAAGAAGGGTTAACACCTGCTCAGGAAAGTGTTTGAGGGCTTGGTTGGAGATGCCATCCGTGCCCGGAGCCTTTTTGGGCTTAAGTCTTTTGACGAGGGATGAAATCTCATCATTGGACACAGTGTTAGGGTCAGAGGCTGTGGGGGTGAGTTCCAGCGGCGGACCTCACCCTCCACTGCCTGGATGACCCTTTTTTGATGGAACCTTTTATTCTCCTTAAGGGAGGATTGTCGAACGACGAAAATCGCTCCCTTTTTATACGACCTCGGCTAGGTCAAAAATACAGTACAAGCAACAGGGGAATGGTATCGACCAATCAGAGCAAGGCGCGAGAGAGCAAGTCACGATGCTATGTAACTACCTTGCTGAGTCGCTTAATAATAGTGTTTTTTCTATATATTAAACTCATACATTTCTATATTACTACATTATAGATTCAGCACATAACTTAAAACCATGTCTACTATAAATTTTTGATATAAAACTCTAAACTATAACGATTATTCCACTAAATTATAATATGAAACGCTTATGTCTTATTTATGTATTGGCCTATCAGCGTCTATATATCACTATTTTTCACTTGTTCCGCACACTTACTTAATTTAATTTATAATTTAATATGCATTTTTAATCACTTTTACAAATTTAATTCAAGTCCATAATCAATGTTCTTTTAAAACGGACCAAGTTCAAAGTGCTCCAAAAGAAAGTTGAAAAGTTTTTCAATCTATTTTTATTTCGTCTCTTGATGGGCTCTCAAAGTTTTGCACTGGACCATGCTTTATGTAAACGTTACCTTAACTTCTTATCTGACGCTAAAAAACCATCGTCGCACATTTCAACCCCCGACGAAAACAGAAGGCTGTTATATTTTTCTAGTGTGTTTCTGTGTATCTGCTAATATTTGTATCTGTGTATCTGCGTATCTGTGTTTTTGTTTGAAAGGCGTCTTAATCGAGCGTGTTCTTACCTACATCTTTTTAGCCGGTTGAAGACCATGAGCTCGTTTTGTTACGGGTATTTTTTAAATTTTTATTTGAGTTATCAAGATCAGCATGTACGATCAATTTGATCAATTTTGTGTCGTTTTCTATACCTTTACTTTTATCATTACACTTTTAACCTTCCAAGTACATACAAAAGTAAAAGTCCACTTCTGAATACTGGCCTCCTCTATAGATTACCCCATAGGGAGTATATTTGCTGTAGTGACCACGCTCGGCAAGCGGGTTGTTATTATTTTCAGCTTTTAGTAGCTAACCAGTGCTGCCCATCCCCTGATTTTTTCCCTCTATCACCTCTTACAATATTTACAGAACGATATGGGGTGGTGGATATTCTTTCACATACAATACGCGGTACATGTAGGTGCAACCATTAGTAAATGTATTTTTTCAAGTTATATCAAGTTATATCCGTCTCATCACAATCAAAAAGTACCTAAATGTACTTTCAATCATCAAGTGCTAGTACACCAGTACCTACTGCATATATACTTATATAAACTCTCACGTCTGTTACCCAGAGGCATAGGCAAATATTACGGAATTCTATTTGGCAAGATCCTGACACATCTCTCTCTCTCGCTCTCTCTCTTATGTCACATCCATATACACAAACATGCTCCTTATTATAAGTAGAATATTTTGTGTGTTTTACTAGACATCCATAAGGTCAGAAAATATCGATTATCCATCGAGTTAGTAGCTCGAGTCTTTAGGTTCGAATTCCAACCAGAGTAAACATTATATGTGCAAGAATTAAAATTGTTAGTATTTAGCGGTACGATTGTGTAGCTCTGGTGTGAATCGAGAACTGGTGGGATTCACTTCATAACTACGTTATAAAGAACAGAAATTTGTCAATTGATAAATACGATATGAAAAATAAACGATTAGTTTTGAATCACTACTGATACATTTAAACGCCACAATAAAACCAAACGACAAGCCTACAATGATTCCCATAGGTGTTACACAATACATGTAATTTTTATACGCAGTTTTTATACTTTGTAAAGCCATGCTGCAGCTTTATTATGGTTGTAGCAGGAATGGGTTGGCTTGACAAAGGAAGGACTAAACAAATGCATAAAATAATTGAATAATTCCACTGTGTTTTGTGCGGTGCGTAAAGATAACCGGAAATAAGGTATTCCATCTTTATGCAGAGTGACAACGCATCTGCATTTCGATTCTAAATCGAGAATTGATGTACATGTGTCACAACATCCACTTACTATGAGGTGGAATGTGTACTCGTTTGTCATCGATATTTCAGACGAGGTGCTCGTCTAGCATGATAAATATGCTCGTGAATGAGAATATCTTGAGCTATGAACGCAACTCACCCATACTAAGAGGAGATACCGTAGAACGTATATAAATTGTATATTATTTAAGTTTATTTCACTTTCGTATACACGAAACGCGTCATTTCATTTTTATGCCTTCTTTAACAAAACAAAATATACAAATTTTATTTCGATAAAAACACCACCAGTCCCTTACTGTAGTACTTTGACATAAAAAGGTTGTGTTCCGGACCTTATTCGCTCTACGTGTCACGACTGAGATAGTGTTGCGACATTTACTACCAATTTTACGAGATAAAAATCGTCTCCTCGTATGTCACCGTCAACAGATTTATAGCGTGTTAATAGGTAACGTGCCTCGAATTGTTTAGGTTTTCTATAAATAGTTTTACCATGAGTTAGTTATTTATTTACAGCATCGAACCAATACTTCATTTGATTTTACTGCCATTGGTCTAGTTATTGTTTACGCAATTGCTGACCATGAGGACAGTCTGTCAGGAAATTTTCAGTAGCAGCCCAGACTAAGGAAGTTGGCGGTGTTTCACCCCCATGTCCCGGAAAGCACGTATGGGACGCACGTTGGTCCTGTGCCTGATCTCCTTCCGGTCGTGTCGTAATTACCGTCCCTTCGGACTATGAGAGTAATGGAATAGAGAGTGCACCTGTGCTTGCACATAGACTCGGGCACTATAACCCTGTCGTGCGCAGATGGCCAGTCTCCGAGACTGGCTACCATGACCGAAATTCAATCTAGAGGATATTATAATTATAAATAAAAAAAATAGTTATGCTATCAACCACTCCTACTAAAGGTTAGTAGAAAATGCTTGTGTTAGAAGTGATTTACGACAGTAGTCGATTGGCGGATTCGAACCTACTAACTTGCCATTAGGCTTCTGCCGCTTTAAATTAAGTCAATTATTACTTTAGTTATTACGTTTATTTATTTATATATTTTTTAAAGAATAAGGGTGACAAACGAGCACGCAGTCCACCTGATGGTAAGTGGTTGATGTGGCCCATAGACATCAACATCTATCTTCGTTTGCGAATTAAAGTGCAGATGCGTTGTCAGCCATGAGTACTAAGATAGAATGCCTCTTTTCCAGTAACATGGGTCTTCGTTTCTCTACACTCACCATACGAAACACAGCAGCATTAAGCTGCTATTTTACGGTGGTATTCTGTGAGAGCATGGTCCTTCCCCGGTCGAGCCGACCCATTCATGCTACAATTATACTATTAATGTCGCTGTAGCATGGCTCAACCACGTAAAAAATTTAATAGCAATATACATTAATGCTTTTAATCGTTGATTATCATTTTATTAAATTAAGTATTAATTATTTTGTGCCGGACGGGCGTAACTCTCCGGAGTAAATGTTGTCGAAGATACTCCGCGAGTTGCTCACGCGGACTGAGGTTCAAAATTAAAATGCACGATTTATAAATTCAATTAGCAAGGGAGTAGCCAGCGGTTCGACTAATTAATTAGTCGCGAAATTTTATAATTATTATTTATTAACCACGGTTGTTGAATACGGTTGTTCAACTACGGTTGTTCACTATTGGTTGGTCACTATATATTTTCAAAAGATTTAATTAAAATGTGCGGTAGTATTAAAACATCTATTGGTAGTAGCTGGTTTTTTAACAATACTGACTAGCAGCTATCAATCAACTAAAACTAGTTGATTTTATCACTTGTGTAAATGCGAATATCAGTTACCACTTTCTGCGATTAGCTATCACTTTCACTATATGGAACTGCGAATATCAGTTAACCATTTTTTCGTCTAGCTAACACTTTTTTACTATATGCAACTACGAATTTTCAGTTGCCACTTTTTTCGGCTAGCTAACACCTTTTTACTATATGCAACTGCGAATTTTCAGTTGCCACTTTTTTCGGCTAGCTAACACTTTTTCTAATTCACTATTACTGTTCACAATGTTCTGCTACTAGTCACTTCAGCTACTACCGGATACTACTGCTTGTCACAGGTGTGTGTGTGTGTATATGTGTGTGTGTGTGTGTGTGTGTGTGTGTGTGTGTGTGTGTGTGTGTGTGTGTGTGTGTGTGTGCGTGCATGTGCGTGTGCGTGTGCGTGTGCGTGAGCGTGTGTGCGTGTGTGTGTGGGTGTGTGTGTGCGTGAGTGTGTGCGTGTGTGTGTGTGTA